AAAAAGGAAAAAACAATCAAAAGAAGGCAAAATAAAAAGCAGATGCTGAGGAGGGATAAGAGGCGGCCGGCAGAGCGGGGCCGGGCACCGGACTGGAGGGATAATTGGATTTCGGTTCGTCTCGGGGGCGATAAGAAATTCCTCGTGTAGTTTTTTATTCCTTTATGAAGCATATTTTAATGTGAGATTTGAATATGGCCGGGGCAGCGCATCCCATCCCAAAAATATAGGTTGCTGAGTTTTGTTTTTTTTTTTTTTTTTCCCTGTTTCCCCCAGTTTATGCACTTCCTCGGGGGCTTTTGGGGGTAGAATGTGGCTAATCCCGAGCTCAGCGGCTTCGGTCTCTGTAGCAGCAGTTTGGGGTGAGCAGGAGCGGTGCAAAGCCCCAAAAGCAAGGAGAGGGGACACAGCAACCCCAAAAGGGACAGGGCAACCCCAAAAGGGACAGAGCAAATCCCAAAAGGGACAGGGCAACCCCAAAAGGGACAGAGCAACCCCAAAAGGGACACAGCAAATCCCCAAAGGGGACACAGCAACCCCTAAAGGGACACAGCAACCCCAAAAGGGACACAGCAACACCAAAAGGGACACAGCAACACCAAAAGGGACAGAGCAACCCCAAAAGGGACAGAGCAAATCCCAAAAGGGACACAGCAACCCCAAAAGGGACACAGCAACCCCTAAAGGGACAGAGCAAATCCCAAAAGGGACAGAACAAATCCCAAAAGGGACAGAACAACCCCAAAAGGGACAGAGCAAATCCCAAAAGGGACAGAACAACCCCAAAAGGGACAGAGCAAATCCCAAAAGGGGACACAGCAACCCCAAAAGGGACAGAGCAACCCCAAAAGGGACACAGCAACCCCAAAAGGGACACAGCAAATCCCAAAGGGGACACAGCAACCCCAGAGGGGACACAGGGATTCCAGAAGGGATGCATCAAATCCCGGAGGGGGGAGGTAGCCACCCCAAAAGGGACACTGCACACCCAGAGGGGACAGAGCAAATCCCAAAGGGGGTGCAGCAGCCCCAAAGGGGACATAGTGACCCCAAAGGGGATATTGCACCCCTAAAGGGGATGCAGCAACCCTGGAGGGGACACAGGAATCTCAAAGGGGATGTAGCAAATCCCAAAGGGGACAGGGTGACCCCAAAGGTGACATTGCACCCCCAAAGGAGGATGCAGAGATCCCAAAGGGGACATAGGGACCCTAAAGATAACGTTGCACCCCCAAAGGGGATGCAGTGACCCCAAAGGTGATGTTGCACCCCCAAAGGAGACGCAGGGATCCCAAAGGGACTGTAGCTAATCCCAAAGGGGACAGAGCGACCCTAAAGGTGATGTTGTACCCCCAAAGGGGACACAGGGATCCCAAAGGGGATGTAGGGACCCCAAAGGGAAAGTTGCACCCCCAAAGGAGACGCAGGGATCCCAAAGGGGATGTAGCAAATCCCAAAGGGGACATAGTGACCCTAAAGGCGATGTACCCCCAAAGGGGACACAGAAACTCTGGAGGGGACACAGGAATCTCAAAGGGGATGTAGCAAATCCCAAAGGGGACAGAGTGACCCCAAAAGTGACATTGCACCCCCAAAGGGGGATGCAGGGATCCCAAAGGGGATGTAGGGACCCTAAAGGTGATGTTGCACCCCAAAAGGGGATGCAGGGATCCCAAAGGGACTGTAGCAAATCCCAAAGAGGGCAAGGTGACCCTAAAGGTGACATTGCACCCCCAAAGGGGACACAGGGATCCCAAAGGGGAATGTAGTAAATCCCAAAGGGGACGCAGTGACCCTAAAGATGATGTTGCACCCCCAAGGCGGATGTAGTGACCCCAAAGGGGATGTTGCACCCCCAAAGGGGATGCAGTGACCCCAAAGGTGACATTGCACCCCCAAAGGGGACACAGGGATCCCAAAGGGGATGTGTGGACCCCGAAGGGGATATTGCACCCCCAAAGGGGACTCAGGGATCCCAAAGGGGATGTAGCAAACCCCAAAGGGGACGCAGTGACCCTAAAGATGATGTTGCACCCCCAAGGGGGATGTAGTGACCCCAAAGGGCATGTTGCACCCCCAAAGGGGATGCAGGGATCCCAAAGGGGATGTAGCAAATCCCAAAGGGGATGCAGTGACCCTAAAGATGATGTTGCACCCCCAAAGGGGATGTAGTGACCCCGAAGGGGATATTGCACCCCCAAAGGGGACTCAGGGATCCCAAAGGGGATGTAGCAAACCCCAAAGGGGACGCAGTCACCCTAAAGACGGTGTAGCACCCCCAAAGGGAACAGAGTGACCCCGAAGGGATGTTGCACCCCCAAAGGGGACGCAGGGATCCCCAAGGGACCATTGTACCCCGCGTCCCCACGGCCGAGTGGAACGGACAGCCCCACAACCTCCGGGGAAGTGGACACGAAGCAGAGGAGGCAAAAAAAAAAAAAAACAAAAAAAACCAAAACCAAACCCAAAAAAACCAAACCCTCTGTGTCCGTCCCCCCGTCCCCCCCCCTCCCCGCTCCCCGTGGGTGCCGGAGATGGGAGCGATAGAGCAGAGCAGCCCCGTCCCGTCCCATTAACCGAGGTGGCCCCGAACGTCCCTTATCGCGGTGGCATCAAAGCCCCGGGGCCCAGGGCCGTGAGCACCCAAAACGGTGGGGCGCACCCCGGCAAGGCTCTTCGGCGTGACCTTGCTTGAGGGCCCGGCGTTTGGTGGGGGGACGGAGTTATTAGGGTCAGCGGAGAGGTTTTTTAATTGCCGATGAGGGTTGGGGCCTTGGTGGGGACACTGCTGTGTTGGGGCCGGGTGGGGAATGGGGCGGAATGGGGGAAATGGGAGAAGCAAAGCTGGGGAAAGGGAAAGGTTGTGCGTGGCTGGGTGTTCACCATCGCGTGTGTGTGTGTGTGTGTACCCCCCTGCCACCCCAACTCCTGGGGAGCCGGTCCCGGGTGGGTGGGTTGAGGGGTGAAGCGGCCTGCAGCGCGGGGAGGCGTCGTGTCCGGGGTGCAAGGGGGTGCTCAGGTGCCCATAGGGGGTACGCTGGTGTTTGCAGGCGCCTCTGCAGGTGGGTGCGGGTGCGTGGGCGCGCGGGAAGGGATACACACGCTCATGCTTGCACACGCATGCACGGACACGTGTGCACATGCTTGCGAGTGCATGGGCACACACGAACGGACACACATGCTCAAGCTTGCACGTGCGTGGACACACATGTCCATGCTTGCACATGCATGCAAGTGCATGCACATGTATGGAGACACATGCACGTGCTTGCACATGCATGGAAGAGCATGCACACACATGAACGGACACACATGCTCAAGCTTGCACGTCCATGGGCACACATGCTCATGCTTGCACATGCATGGGATACACGTGCCCATGTTTGCACATGCATGGAAGAGCATGCACTCACATGCACAGACACACAGGCATATGCTTGCACGTGCATGGGCACACATGAACAGACACACATGCTCAAGCTTGCACATGCGTGGACACACATGTCCATGCTTGCACATTCATGCAAGCGCATGCGCATGTATGGACACACATGCACATGCTTGCACATGCATGGGCACACATGTCCATGCTTGCACGTGCATGGATACACATGCTCATGCTTGCACATGCATGGAAGAGCATGCACACACATGCACGGACACACACGTACATGCATGCATGCACATTAACAGAACAGACACACGTGCTCAAGCTTGCACGTGCATGGATACACGTCCATGCTTGCACACGCATGCAAGTACATGCACATGCATGGACACACATGGACATAGCACTTGCTCAGGCTTGCACGTGCATGGCCATGCGCGCTCGCCCATGCCCGTGCATGCCCACGCTTGCACACGCACGCTCCCACACGCACGTGCGTGAACTCGCGGGCACACGCGCGCACACCCCGGGGCGGGGCCACGGGGCAGAGCCAGGGCACGAACACGTTTGCACGCGCGGCGGGATGTCGGGACAGGGAGACGCGTCCCGGCTCGCCCGGGGACATATCGCGACACACTGGGTGGCCCGTCGCGGCTTTGCAGCGGCCACAGCCCGCTGCGCGCCCGGCCCGGTGCACGCCCCCCGCCCACCCCGTTGCACACCCAGCCCTGTTGCACGCTCCACCCCCGGTGCCCGCCCCCCCGGTTGCAGGCCCCACGCCCACCCTGTTGTAAGCCCCCTCCCCTTTCGCACCCATCCCCGGTGCACACCCATCTTCGTTGCACGCTCCCCCCCCCCCCCCGCCCCCCCCCCCGTTGCACACTCATCTTCGCTGCACACTCATCCCTCTTGCACACCCAGCCCCGGTGCACGCCCCCAGCCCCCTTGTTGCACGCCCACCCCGTTGCACAACCTCTCGTCGCACACCCCCCCCCCCCCCCGTTGCGCATCCCCCCCGTTGCACCCTCCTTGCTGCACACCCACCCCGTTGCGCATCCCCCCCGTTGCACCCTCCTTGTTGCACACCCACCCCGTTGCGCATCCCCCCCGTTGCACCCTCCTAGTTGCACACCCACCCCGTTGCGCATCCCCCCCGTTGCACCCTCCTTGCTGCACACCCACCCCGTTGCGCATCCCCCCCGTTGCACCCTCCTTGCTGCACACCCACCCCGTTGCACATCCCGCCGTGGCACATCCCATATATTGCACACCCACCCCGTTGCACATCCCGCCGTGGCACATCCCATATATTGCACACCCACCCCGTTGCACATCCCGCCGTGGCACATCCCATATATTGCACACCCACCCCGTTGCACATCCCGCCGTGGCACATCCCATATATTGCACACCCCGCCGTTGCACACCCGCTGCACGCCCCGCCTCCTCCCTCCGCTGCCCCGCCCCTTGCGCGCGCCCCCGCTTCCCTCCTCCCCCCCCCCAAACCGCGCGGGTCCGGCGGGGCGGGGCGGGGCGGGGCGGGGCGTGGTCTCTGCGAGGGGGCGGATCTACGGCGGGAGGGGGCGCGGGGGCGGGGTCAGAGCCTGACGGGGCGGGGCGGCCGGTGGCGCTCGCGCTGCGGCCCGGCTGCGGCAGCGGAGCGAGGCCCGGTCCGTCCCGGTTCGGTTCGTTCCGTCCCGTTCCGTTCCGTTCCGGTTCTGTCCGGCCCGGCCCCTCCTCAGCCTCCCGCCATGGCGCTGCTGCGGGCGGCCGCGCTGCCCGCTGAGGGGTCTCCGGCCTGGCTGCCCACCCACGTCCAGGTGACGGTGGTGCGGGCCCGCGGGCTGCGGTGCAAGGGCGGCGGCAAACCGGGCACCAGCGACGCCTACACCATCATCCAGCTGGGCCGCGAGAAGTACAGCACCTCGGTGGCCGAGAAGAGCACCGGCAGCCCCGAGTGGCGGGAGGAGTGCGCCTTCGAGCTGCCCCCCGAGCTGAACCCCCCGGCAGGCCCGGCCCGCGGCGGGCTGCTGCTCACCGTGATGCACCGGGCGCTGGTGGGCATGGACCGGTTCCTGGGCCAGGCCCTGGTGCCGCTGGAGCCCGCCCTGCAGCAGGGCCGCACGCCCCACGAGCGGTGAGTGGGTCCCGCCGGGCGAAGCCCGACACCCGTGGGGGGTAGAGCCGGGGAGGCCCCTGGGATGGGCGCCGTGGGTCTGCGTGTGCCCCCCGGGGTGGGCGCCGTGGGTCTGCGTGTGCCCCCCGGGGTGGGCGCCGTGGGTCTGCGTGTGCCCCCCGGGGTGGGCGCCGTGGGGTCCCTTGCGTTCCCCCCCGGGGTGGGCGCCGTGGGGTCCCTTGCGTTCCCCCCCGGGGTGGGCGCCGTGGGGTCCCTTGCGTTCCCCCCCGGGGTGGGCGCCGTGGGGTCCCTTGCGTTCCCCCCCGGGGTGGGCGCCGTGGGGTCCCTTGCGTTCCCCCCCGGGGTGGGCGCCGTGGGGTCCCTTGCGTTCCCCCCCGGGGTGGGCGCCGTGGGGTCCCTTGCATTCCCCCCGGGGTGGGCGCCGTGGGGTCCCTTGCGTTCCCCCCGGGGTGGGCGCCGTGGGGTCCCTTGCGTTCCCCCCGGGGTGGGCGCCGTGGGTCTGCGTGTGCCCCCCGGGGTGGGCGCCGTGGGGTCCCTTGCGTTCCCCCCCGGGGTGGGCGCCGTGAGGTCCCTCGCGTTCCCCCTGGGGTGGGTGTCACAGTGGGTGGGGTGTCACGGGGTCTGCGTGACCCCCAGGAAGGGCACTGCAGGAGATGGGGTGTGGCAAGATCCACGCGTGTCCCAGGAAAGGGCTTTGCAGGATGGAAGGTGTCACAGGGTCCCCGTGTGCCCCCAGAAGGGTGTCATGGGGGGGTGAATCGTGGGGACCGCGCGTGCCCTGGGAAGGGCGTTGCAGGAGATTCGGGTCCGTGGGCACCCTAGGGAGGGTGTCACGGGGAGCGGGGTGTCGTGGGGTCTGGGAAGGGCTTTGCAGGAGGTCATCCACCATCACAGGGCACCAAGAAGGGTGTCATGGGGGGATGGGGCATCGCAGGGTCCGTGGGTGCCCTGGGAAGGGTGTCACAGAGGACGGGGTGGCACGGGGTCCGTGTATGACCCGGGAAGGGCATTGCAGGATACGGGGTATCGCAGGGCCCGTGGATGCTCCAGGAAGGGCATCGCAGAGGGTAGAACATCACGTGTGCTCCAGGAAAGGTGGTGTGGAGGATAGGGGTGCCTCAGGGTCCCCCCAAATGGAGTCATGTAGGGGATGAAAGCATCACGGGATCCTTCCTCAACCCGGGCAGGGGGTCCCAGGGGACAGGGTGCCACCGGGTCCCTCAGCATCCCAGGAGGGTCCTCCCCGGGGTCTCTCACTCCTGGGAAGCCGGGGCACGGATACCCGCGGTGGTTTGTCTTTCTGGTGGCTGCGGCGGCTCGGTGTGACCTGGTTTGTCACGGTGCTGCTGCAAGAGGGTCCCCCCACTTCAGGGGACTGAACGCCAGCCCTGCGTCGCCTCCAGCATAAATCGCTGCGTGTGGGGGGTTTGCTGTTCTTCCTCCTTCCCCCATTATTAAAACAACAATAATCCTTTCTAGCCTTTGCCAGGCAGAGAAAAACAGGAATACGGATGAAATTCCTTTAGGGAAGAAGTTTTTTGAGCAGACCTGGCTGTGCGCCTCCGGGAGCGTCCCCGCTGCTCGCCGGCTTCCCGGACCCCAGGAATTTGTCTGGGGGCTTGGAGATGATTCTTCCTCCCACCCAGGGCACAGCCCCGGGGGGCGGCGGAGGGACCGCCGGGGCTTGGCAGGCGGCTCAGCCTGGGTTGTGGAGAGCGGGATTAGCGTGAAAAGGGGTCAGAAAAAACTTTTCCTGTGGAGAAATGTGTCGTGTTTGCATCTGCAGCCCGAGGAGACTCCTGCATGCCCTAAAATGGCAGCGTGGGCACAGAGGAAAAGTGACTAACCCCGGAGTTAGTGTCTGAGTGTTTTGCCCCCCTCCCGGCGTTTATTTTGCTTTTATTAGCGCTGCCCGGAGAATGGGCGGCGTTGGAGGAGCTGGGTCTGAATTCTTCAGGCCTAATTCAAACCAGCATCATGCTCAGACTTCAGAGCGAGCCAGGCGATCCACGGCTTTTCGGGCGCGCCGGGAGAGACGTGTTGTTTTGGCACAGGAGGATGTGAAATAACTTTCCGTCCTTTTTGCGGTTTGGGTAGTGAGCCGGGAGCCGGGGTAGGAGCCGTGGCTCGAGGAAAGCCACGCTCCCGTTAGCAGAAGTTTACAGAAAGTTTACAAAGTTGTGCAAAGCGGGGGGGCCTTGTGACAGTCCTGCAAAGGCTTCGGGAGGCTCAACCTGTGGTCTCGTCTCAAAGGTCTCGGCGTCAGGGGCTGTTAATCCCACGGGTGCAACGTCCAGCGCGGCTGCCGGTCTCCCCGGCAGTACCGTTAGTGCAGCCCAAGGAGGGGATCTGGGCTGTAAGGCAGCAGATCCCCCGAGTTTTTGCTGTCTCCTTCCCTCCCTTCCTGTAGTTTCGCTTACATAAGGAAAATTAACTTCCCTTTGCACCGTTCAGGATCGCAAGAGCTTTTAAAGCTCTTTATCTTCACCCGTGCTCCCTGATGATGGAAGTGAGCACAGAAAACGTGGCGGAGAGCTCTCACCCTGCACCCCGAGCGTCTGTTTGCTTGTACCCCTGGGCTGGAAGGTGTCTCAAGGATGGGTGGCAGATTTGCAGAGTGGAAGGGGCTGCACTCCTTTTTTTTTTTTTTTTTTTTTTTTTTTTTTGGAGGGGAGTCCCGAGTGCTGGAGCTTGTCCAGCCGGGCGGGAGAAGGGTTTGGGGGGGAGCCCCCGGGGGTTTGGCTCTGCGAGCTGCCCGAGCTTCCAACCAACTTCTGACGCCTGGTTCGGCCCCATTGCAAACAACTTTGTTCAGGAGGAAATTTTAGTCCTGCATTAAAAAAGAGCAAAACAAATACGGGCTCCCCGCCTCTGGGACTGCACCACAGAGCGCACCCAAGCCTGTGCAGTGGAGATAACCGTTGTCCCTCATGCAAGGGATGTATGAGTTGAGCCTCTGCCATACGCCGTTTTTTAGGACCCCATCTGTGGTCCACGCTCCTGGGCATAAAATTACTGCCAGTTGGAATGGGATCCTGCTTAAAAAAGAAAAAGGCCTTGATTGTCTGCATGTTGACCTTGCTCTCAATTTCGTGCTGATTTTTGTTGCACGGAAACCGTACCAGCTTTGATTTTTATACTTGTTTTCAGCTCAATGGAAAAAGTTCTGTCAAACTTGGACTCTTCTCTAGGAACAAGCCGTCAGCCGGCATCCGGGGGTGTTTATGAGCTGCCTTGTTCATCCGAATGTCTCAGTCATTTCAGTGTTTTGCCCGGGAGAAAATAAACTCTTGAAATTGCACAAGAGCAGTATGAGAGCTCTCATGGCCTTTTTGGGCATCCCAAGGCTTGTCCCACGCTCAGCCAGCCCCAAGGCTTGAGGTTGGGAAGCAAAGCAACAGTGCCGAGCATCATTTCTCCCTTTCCACTCGAGCTGTGTAGTGCTTTTATTTTTCACCCATGCCTTTTACTGCCCTGATGAGCCTGATGTGCATCTCTGGACGCGTTACCTTTCTGCATCCAAAAATCCCTTGTGCCGTGGCCTTGCCTGGGCAGGATGCTCCTGGTCTTCACCTCTCCCTGCTGTGACCTGGTCCCTGCAGCTCTCTGTCCCGCCTCACTTTTTGGAAGCCCAAAGCCCAGCAGGATGAGACCGTGCAATAAAATGCTTGCATACTGGCACGGTGACCACCATCATGTCTGACCGTGATGGTTTGCCAGCTCGACACAGGCATGCAGGGAGATGTAGTGGTTCGGTGGGGAAGCAGCAGCAGGGTGGCCAGTCCCTCTGAAACGAGGGTGCAGCCCAGCAGAAAAGGGCTTTTTCTGCACTGGCGAGGCAGCTATCACTTCTGCTTCCTGACATCCAGGAAATGCCGTTGCAGTCCCCTGTGGGGGCTTATCCTGCCTTCTCTGCGGCACGGCAGCAAGCTGGAGAGCCTTACCTCCACGTCCATCCCCGTCAACACAGCGGCTGGGGAGGGTGGAAATGCCTCCGGCGAGACGAGAGCTTCGCTCTGACATGCGTCAGGCTGTGTTTTCCCCTTGGCCAACGTGGTCTGTTGGGTGGGTGGCGTGGCAGGGAGGACAGGACACGCACAATAATGCTGCGGGGTTGGACCTCGGATCTCACTGCAAGGGGGGCCTGAAACAGCCTTGATTTTACTCTGTGGGCTGTGAGGCTGATGATGGGGAGGGACGGTGGGCACCTGGAGTTTCCTAGGCTGGGCAAAGAAAAACCTTAATCATCATCACCTGCTTTCTACCCCTTTGAAATACCATTTTCATTTATTGTCTTTCCCTAAGACCTCACAGCACCATGGCAAAGGAGAAGGGTTAAAGTCGTGAGCCTTCCAGGGTGAAGCTCTGCTGGCTGTGCTAACACCGGGCTGCTGGAGCTCGGTCTTTGGAGAGCAAAATTTGTGACTTTGCAGCCCTGGGATCCTGTGGGTAAGGGGACAGTAAGTGTAGCAGAGGACTTGTGGTTCCTGGCTCTGGTGTTTTCCTGCAGTGACTTGCAGTTGCTTGCTGGCTGCTGCCTCGGACGGGGAGCAACAGCAGCAAGTGGCCTTCGGTGTCTCTGTGACGGGGAACCTGTCTTGCGGAGTTGTTACCTGTGCAGAATTAGCCCAGCTCCAAATTCCCCAAAGCCCTCCCTTTATTTGTTCCTGGCCCTCCCCAGCTGTGGAGAGGCTGGTTGCTTGGAGGGGTCGGGGCTTGTGTGCAGCCCTTCACCCAGGAAGCCGCAGCATCTCCACCCTGGCAGCAGGAATGAGACGCTTTCCTTGCTCTCCATCAGCAAAGAAGCTACTTGGGGTACAAAACCTTTCCTCTGGGTGCTAAACTTTTCCAGCTGAAGTCCTTGAGGCTGCTGGGTCTTCTCCATGTCTTGATGGAGCTCAGTTCTGGGGTAAGGCTCAGTGCAAAAGGGATAGGGATTTCTTTGGGCTCGTGGGGGGGAAGGTGTCGTGGAATCAGGCCAAGACGTTTGGCAGAGCTGG